AATACCGAGTCTGTCGTGTGTATAAAGGCACCTCAAAACAGGCCTCTTCCTCACCTTCTCTTCCCTCTTTCTCCAATTTGCTTTTATCAGATCCAAACAACTTCACTACTTCTCTCCCTCTTTTCTGCTCAGAGGTCTTGGATTCATGAATTTCCTTTCCTAAATCTCAATTAATTCATGTCTTTTCTTGTCTTGTCTTGAGGCTCGTGTTATTCCTCCTTTTTTAGTTGATTTCCGCATCTTCCTCAAGCGATTAGGGGTCTGGTTTTCTTATTTCGTTTCCTTCCTGCTAAGATGGAGCCAAGAAGACTTATGAATTACCCGAAATGATATTGTTGGCGGAGGGCGTTTTCTTCGTGATTTACTGACTCTCTTATTTGTTTTTTTTTTTAATTTCTTTTACTGTTTAACTTGTCTCCCGGTGTCTGACTGCATAAAACTTTCCCTTAACATTGTTACGGCCTCCAATGCGCTTTCCCCATACAAGGCTCCTTTTTGCAGCAAAAAGGACACTCTTTAATTTTTTTTATTATATATATACATATATATATTTTTCGCCCCCTTTTTCGTTTTTGGCTGAACTGAGCTGTTTAAACTAATTAGGGTTTCAGATGCCTGTTGGAAAACCCAGAAAATAAGCCTCATCAGTGTACCTCTTGTTTGCCTCTCCTACCCTATATGCTCAGTTTCTGCAGTTTCTCGATCCCTCCATCCGAGGAACATCGAATCTATCATATTCATTCATGGATCTGCAGTCATGGTTTGCAGATGCAGCATCCTCAAGATTCACATATGCGCAGCATGATGAGGTTTTAAATATATGAGAATCTTGATGATGCTGCATCGGCCAATATATGACTTTATAAATTAATACAATTGAAGATGATCGGCCAATATATTTACACTTTTCACTCAGATTTTTCTTTGTTTGATATTCAATTGAAAGGGGGAGATCCTTTTTTTTATTTTTTTTCTTCTTATGCAGACAACTGGGGAAGCAGAATCATAAGATTTCGGAGAAATTAAGGTGAGTGAATACAACTCATCATCTGCCCTCTATTTTATGTTGCATCATCTTTGTTTTTAGGGTTTAGATTCCGACACAGATCCCACAATTAAGGGTTGCTAATAAAACATTAGGGTTGTTTGCTAATTAGGATATGAAAAATCATATGATTAATCTCTTAATTTTTTTATTTAGTACTCTCCATACATACATACATACATACATACATAAATGCATTTACATTTTGTCTTGAGTTTATATTCTTGTATATTATCTAACAGGCCTAAAGAAACCTTGCAGATGTACAGTGTATATATATACATGGGATCATCTATTCATCTTTAATCTATAGAATTTCCGTGGAGGAACCTTTTTAGAACCTTTTTTTTTTTTTTTGAAAGGCATTTTAGAACCAATTTTAATTAATGTGAGATTGATTCCTTTTGTCTTCTAATACTATTTCATTCACAATACATTATACATAGATGTATATTATATCCCCTATTTTAAGGCAATTAGTTTTCTAAGTCATGCAGCTGGTGATTCATTTCTTCTTTTCCACAATTGTTAATTATTTTTCCACTTAATTACTATCATCAGTTCATCACAATGTTTTGAAATATTTCATCTTCAAACTCTATGATTGTAACTGTTGCGAAATTGTTTTCTAAGTCAATTTCTTTGAATGCAGCAGTTGGGACTTGGAAAGTTTTCTTATTTTGATGTCTTATTCTGAATTTCTGACCAATGATACATGCATATATGAAAATGTGGAGTAGAATTATGCAAACTTTTTTTTTTTTTTGGGCCATCCAAGCAGATTACAAAAAGAATAAATTTAAGGTAAACAACTTAATTTGTTTAGGGACATTTATTTATATAATGACTCAACATGCACTAGTACACAAAAGTAAAAACAAAAATCACACAGCAAGCCCTTAGCTGTAACACAGAAAATGTTTCATTTTAATTTGTGTATGATTCAAACAAGACTTTGTTGCCTGCCTGCCAGCCTGCCAATTGATCTTTCAAAAGCACCTATGAGTACATGGGGTCAGTTTTTTACAGCAGCAACATGGGGTCGATCGGTTGTTAAGTGCTAATTCGATCAAACTTTTGTGAAGCACCTCTTCTCACCAAATTAAGTTGTAAACTTTAGTACTAGGAGTTAATGATTCAATTTCAGTACTGTATATAAATTCTTCTTCATGTGCATATATCATATATATGCCTTTTAAGTAATATTGATCTACTTGCGCTCCCCCTCCCCCTTAATTAGTGGTTAGCGAAGCCAAATAAGGGTGAGGTTTCTTTTCCTCCCTCTTTTGGGGGTTTCTATTTGGTATCTTTTAACAATTTTTTTCATTTTTTTCCGCCAGTAAAAAAGATAGGCAATATAGATGTAAGTGGCTGAACTCAACTAAATACAACATTTTAACTACCAATAATATAATTAGGGTGGTGTCTCTAACTAATCTTTCTATCTTAAAAAGTTGAAGTATCATATAAGACCTCTCAGATGCTTCAAACGCACAATAGAGTAGCCCTCTTAAGTTTGTTGCTCCTAAAAACTAGTGGCTTAACTTATTAAACCTCAAGGTTGGGTCTAGTTTTGATGTACATATAATTAGATTATTTAACTTTGCTTTTTTCACT